TGCTGCAAGGCATGATGATTCTACATATCTGTCATGATAAGGAGTGCTGTATTTGAAAATGGAAACTGGGAACTCGGAGGCCTATGAGAAGAACTGGCCAAAGACAGAAGAGTAAATCACAAATTCTTGAAATGCTTCAAAGCTCGGAAGCCTGAGAGAGTTGGTGTGTGGGCTGGGATGCTGTGGAACAAAAGGAGCAGCAAGGAGAGATAAGACATTGCTGGGAAGCTAAATTAGGTATTTTATCAGCCTACAGCACAGGGGATGTGCTGGAAGGCACCTCTCCTAGACTTGCTCATTCCAGGCAGCAGCGATGAAGAACTGCCGGAGCCAGGGGTGCTCTGATGAGCTGCTGCATTAAGGAGAAATGAGTCACTGGGCCCAGCTGGGTCACACCCGAAAATGTGGAAAGAACTCGGGAATGAAGCCACAGAGCAGCCAACAGAAAAGACAGTTAGTCGTTAAAATTTGGTCTGACATGGGGGCAGCAAAGAGTAGCAAAAGTTTGAGCAGATTTTGAAAGGATAAAGTGCTGAAGATTACAGAGCAGGGGCTCTGGAACCAGGGAACCTGATTGAACCAAGAGCAAAAAAAAGCCTCTCAGGACACTAAGAGTGCTGAGAAAGTGGGGCAAGCACCTCACCATCTGTTTGTGTTTCATGACTGTTAACAGTACAGAAGTGATAATTAGATACGGATAACTAACTTTGACAAATTTGTCTCAAGCAGCTACTACGACAATCCTGCAAAGACATCACAGGGCTGAAGGTTTTATATTTTTATCATGGATCAGAAACTTTCCCTCTCGCAAAAAACGAGATGAAGAATAAGCAATTGACTCTATGGCCACATGCTGGCATGCCCCAAAGCTCCACAGTGAAGACAATATTGCTTAATCATGATCCTCCACCATGAGAAACAAGAGGAAAACAGGGATTGCTACAACCAGCAGAAAACCCCAAATCATTTTGGTTAGTCAAAAGGCCAAATGAAGAGAAGTCCAGCTGGATTTAACAAAGCCTGATGTGCTTGCCTATAGCAAGAACAGATGCCATTTCTTCCTGATAAACACAAGGTGTAATGCCCACCGGGAGGAATTCTTGAACTGTTTGTCTGCCCTGCTGAGCTAAACATTAAGCATTACCAACTCAGCGAAAGAAAACTCTACCCATTACGATGGAAGTTCATTGAAGATTTTTGCTGAATGTCCGATAGCTAATGAAAAGAAAACAAAGTGCCGTTTTGCCCAAAGAACAATACAGTGAAAGGGCAGGAATTCTTCTAATGCTTTTGCATGAACAACTGACACTACCGATGTATCTCTGTCACAGGGCCCAGTTCTGGTGACTGTAACACAAAAGCAAGAGAGCAGATGTAACTGGCAACAGAGCCGGGCAGCAGGGAAGAGGGCAGAGACAGGCAATCAACAAAGCTGTATGGGGAAGCATGGCCAATAAGGAAAATGGAAATGAAGCTCATACCATTAGGCAGGTCCCAGTCTGTGTGGAAGCCATTTTGTAAGGTCTGGAGACTTTCCCAGCTACCAGAGCCTGCAGCTTCTGTAACTGCTGGAGCAGAGTCCTAGGACAGGAAACAACCCAAATCACAACTTGATAAAGAAGTAACAGCTAGTAAGTGATGCAAGAATACCACTACCCCCTTCATATTTTACCCTGATTTTCCCTTCTTATGAAAACAAACGTCTCCCCCTTGCTGTATCTTGCCCAAGTTCTCTGACCAAACAGGCTTGGGAAGCACGAAACAAAAAAGGGTGAGTTTGAGATATAAAGTGTGCAGGAGCTGTGAGAGATACGGCCCCGAGGTGCCATTACGCTGTAGTAACTCCCTGCAGCACGCTCCCTCAGTCTCCTCACCAGTAGGTCCACCACAACCTTCACTGCAGCTACCCACCATTATGAACGTCCCATTCATTTAGGAGTCCTGGGTGTCTCAAAGCCCAGCCAGTCATCTCCCAAAGCAATGGAGAGGTGAGCTACCAGGAAAATCAGGCTCTGGGATGAGGGCTGAACTTTGTAGTCAGGTCAGACACCAAGCACAGGCCTGCCTGCTCCCACTTCACTCAGACACACGCTTTGCAGCTTGACCTGTGACCTGAACCATATGGTGGAGAGAGAAAGAAAAAACAGTTTTGACCCCCTCCAGCTTCTTCAGTCTTGGCAAAGTCTGCAGAGGGATGTGGGCAAAGCCAAATCTTGAGTTCAGCAACTAATTAATTGTCTGGCTGCCCCAGCTAGAACACGTGCTAAGGTCTCTCTGCCCCATTTAACTAAACACAGGCATCGGCACAGGTAAGCACAGAACAGTGGTAGGTGTGTTACTAAGAGCCACCAAACCCCTCACTGGGCTGGTGAAGAAATCTGGGATGAGGAAGACTACAGAGCACACAGTTCCCAATGGCTGCAAATTACTGAAATGCAGACTACTGAGTGTCTCCCTCTGGGAGCACTGACTGTTTTACACAAATATGTTTGAGCTTTGATAAAATGCCAGGTCCTGGAGCTAGGAGATTGCAGGAGAATCCCAGCTTTATCTCTTTCCAAATCCTCTTCTGCTCCTTGTACATGTGGAGAGAAGCACAGAGCGTCCCACTGGCAGTGCTCAAAACCAAACCCAATTAGAAAGAACACAATGTGTATTTTGAAAAAAAAAATATCTCCTGGCTTTTAGGCCAGTCTCCTGATCTTGCAGGGTGGGGCTCATGCTTTTTCAGCATCAGGGGCTGCCTGCACCCCCAGCCAGGCTGGGCTGCAGGCTCTGCCCCACAGATGAGAGCAGCTGGGCAGCCGTGTCTCCGGCAGGTGGGAGGCTCCGGCCACTCGCACACCTCAGCCAGACCATGCCTGACAGTCCCTGGTCCTGGCATCAGTGGGTGGGCTGGAAGCCGGGGCTACAGCACTCGTGTCGTGGATGGGAGGAAGGAGCGCGGCCGAGAGTCTGAGCTCGGGATGATAGAAATAGGGCTATAGAAATGAGCTTCCCTCTCACCAGCCCTGCAGCTGACCCTGCCCTTGCTCACACCTATTGCATTCAGTAAGAGGGAGCAGAGCTGGGCCCTTCTCCAGCTCCTGCTGCCCATCCGCACTGCAAGGGTGGGAGTCTTCTTTATTTGCTTCCAGGGAAGCAAATTCCCCTGGTGATCAGTCAGCCAGCTCTGCGTATTAGGAACACAAGCGCTCACCAGATTCTTGCGAGAGGGAGCCAGGGGCCTGCTTTGGCGCTGTGGGAACAGCTTGCCCCTTTCAGGTGAGCAGCAGCAGATGGTAGGGAGATCCTTCAGGCTTGCTTTGCAAGGGGAAGAGGCAGGGCAAGGGCTGCAGTACCACATGCACAGGGAGTTGCTCTGGATTTGGTGGGAGCTGGGATCTCTGCCTTTATTAGAGGAATGGGCTTTCCCTGTATTCACCAAGTCTGTTCATCTCTTTCTCCAGAGAAACCTGAAACAGTCACTTTATGCCCAGGGCCTTGTATTCCTCCAAAGAGCCCAAAACCAGCAACAGTGGGTCTGGGAGCTGGTGCGAGGAGCCTCGCTCAGTGCAGCTGCCCTGGAGATAGCCAGAGGCCCAGAGGGCAATGGGGAGGGCAGCATGAGCCCAAAGGCTTGCAGGGAGGAGGAGGAAGAGATGTGAGCAACGCGCCTTCCCTCCCTCTCCTCGCTGCGGCGCGGCCTGGCTGTCCCAACACAAACATTCCAGGCTCGCTAACCAAACCCAGCTGCCTCGCTGCTGCCACGGGCCAAAAACCAGGGCCTTGCTGAGCAGCGCCCATCCCGCCAGGAGCTGGGGGAGCCTGCCTTTCTCTTCTCACCCCCTTGCCCCAGTGCTCCCCCGGCTCCCCTTCCTGCCCACGCCGCCCCACCCACAGAGGGTCAGCTCTAGCCCCTCTTACCTGTTGGCGTTTTCCAAGGTCTCCACTTTTTTCCAGAGTTCATTGTTTTCTGTCGTGTATGTCTCAACCCTGTGGGATAAAACCCACAGCCGGCTGGTTACAAGGGCCAGGCAGATGAAGCACACGTAGTCCTTGCCCCTCCCCAGGTGCGCAGGCTCAGTGGCCCCATCCATCACCTGAAGGTGTGGTCCTGAAGCCAAATGTCCCTCGCCCATCTGGCTGCGGCCAGCCCCGGCAGCCCAGGATGAGATCTCAGGTGGACAGTTAGGTGCGATGGTTCCCAGTTCAGGCTTTCCCGAGGGCTGGGAGACCAGTAGTGGCTGGTTACGGGCAGGTCAAACCGGGACAGACTCCAGGTTACGCAGGCATGTCCGTCACTTCCAAACCCCGCTAAGCAGCATGGAAAGGGAGCAACCTCCGACCTGTCCCGCTCAGACAGAGGACCCGCCCCGG